TGTCTCGGTCGTCGTCGTCGTCGTGTGTGTGTGTGTGTGTGTGTGTGTGTGTGTGTGTGAGTGTGTGTGTGTGTTCAGCTCCTACCTGAGCCTCCGGTCCAGGGCCATGGAGCAGACGGCCCTCCAGCGCTGGTCCAGGCTGTGGCTGGTCTCCTGCAGGGAGTCGCTCTCCGCCTCGTTGCCCCCGGCAGCGTCCTCGTCCCGCAGCAGAACGTCACACAGACTGAGCACCGACGCTACGCCCTCCGTGTGCTGCTCGATGTCCCGCTGCAGCTCCTGCACACACACATGGGAGGGCATGAGGACAGACATCAGGGCATGCCAGGGAAACCATGTGGTGAACATCAGCTCACAGACATACAGATGGAGGGCTGCATGAGACCACCCACTCCCAAAATTAAACAAAGGACAGATATGAATTATTTATCATAAAGAGAGACAAAGAGTTAGTGGGAGTGACAGTGAGTAGAAAAACTACTGTGTGAGTAGAATATTAAGTTCAAATGTAACAATACAAACAATAATGTAAAGACAAAGAAACAACAGGAATAATAACACAAACAATTAAAACAGAAAGTTTGAGTTCTCTTCTCGAATTAAAATAAAATATGACAATTAAAACCTGTGTGTGTGTGTGTGTGTGTGTGTGTGTGTGTGTGTGTGTGTGTGTGTGTGTGTGTGTGTGTGTGTGTGTGTGTGTGTGTNAGAGACAAAGAGTTAGTGGGAGTGACAGTGAGTAGAAAAGCTACTGTGTGAGTAGAATATTAAGTTGAAATATAACAATACAAATAATAATGTAAAGACAAAGAAACAACAGGAATAATAACACAAACAATTAAAACAGAAAGTTTGAGTTCTCTTCTCGAATGAAAATAAAATATAATAATTAAAACACTAGTGTGTGTGTGTGTGTGTGTGTGTGTGTGTGTGTGTGTGTGTGTGTGTGTGTGTGTGTGTGTGTACCTGCTCCTCGGCCAGCCTCCTCTGGATCTCCTGGTGGTGGCACACGCTGTAGGTGACAGGGCGGGACAGATCGGCCTCGATGCGGCAGAGCCAGGATCGGAGGTTACTTATGTTCTTATCCAGCTGCTGCACCGCCGCCAGAGTCTCCTTCAGCTTCTTCACCCTAAACACACACACACACACACACACACACAAACACTGCTTAAAAAAGGTAGCACCCACATGTCCTATTTAGTAACCATTTAGCACACATTGGGACAACATTTTGCAACAAAGCTAGTAGCTAAATCAGACCATCTCCTCTCTACTGAATATATGAGATTAATGTTCGTGTGTACATAACCATGACCAAATACATATAAAGAAAGAAATTACAGGAAAGACCAAAATGACCAAAGAAAGGATATCAAGAAAGGCAACAATTAAAACAAACAAACTATCTAAGAAAGGAGTACAAAGGTACAAATACAGAAAATAAGAAACAAACAGAGAAACATCAAAAGAAAGACCAACTTCCAATATCCTACAAACGTCCCAGGTATCCTGCAATAGCACTTCTAAAGTTACCATGGAGACTGGCCACACACACACACACACACACACACACACACACACACACACACACACACACACACACACACACACACACACACACACACACACACACACACACACACACACACACACACACACACACACACACACACACACACACGGGTGTCATAGCAACGCCTGGGACAATACGAGCCCTCTGAAAGCCTGAAGTGTGCCCGTTTTGGGAGTTTGAGTTCATTTCCCTTTCTGATCCTTCCTCTGCTGTCGGGGTCCAGCAGGGAGACGCTCTCCAGCTAAATAATAAGCTCTAAAAGCAGAGCAGAGCAAACTGAAGTGTGTATGAAAGGGTCTCAACAGGTGCCGGACGTTGGGGCGACTATAGAAAAGTGTTTGCATTCAAGAGAGCCATTTCAGATCTCTTATTACCAGGTTTATACCCTCAAAGACAAGATATGTGTCATTTCTTCAGGTGGTCATTAGGATTCATTCCAAGTACAGTCACATATAGGGTTTCGTTGATGGTTTATGAAATTGCAGTTTGTGTCTAACGACCATGCACCATAAATGTGGCACTTAAAAAAGGTATTCCTAAAAGAAAAATGTGAAAAAGTGGAACCAAAACTCTGGTGTTGGAAAATAAAACTGATTCCAAACGTAGCTAAAGTTCAGGAATGATGCACAGTGTGTAGTGAGTGGATGTTTGTGCGTGTAATGAACACATAATAGTGTAAATTCTACCCAGAGAAACACTCTTCCTCTCTGCAGATACAACCACCCTCGTCATCTAAATTGTCTCCGTCCCTCTTTCTCTGCCTCTCTACCTCGTGACAGCCTAACAAAGCCAGGGGCCTGAACAAAGACACAAAACCCGGTGAGGGGTCCTCGCTGAGGAGAAAAGGACACGGGGAGAATGGACGGAGAGAAGCAGAACGAGCTGAGGATAAGTGAGGATATATGGATGGAGATACAAAGTGCAGCTGACCACAGGAGGGCTCAGAGTTACTCTAAACTGTTGTCCCGTTAATGTGCATGTGCTTCTTCAGTGTTTGGTTCATCTATCATTTGACTTTTACAAACATTATTACACTCACTACTTTATTACTTCATTGCATCAAGTTAGACGTTGATAGCTGCTGATTCTAAAGCATTAAGACTCAAATGATTGCTGTTAGCTGGGAAATGTTATAGCAGCAGAGCCCAGCTTTAAATGCATGAGTGGACATTAGAAAGGGCATTTACAAAACCAAGACAACAGCAAATGTTATTCATGAATTATAATTATTTGTGTCACCCTGGAAAACCTGGGTTGACCCTTTGCTGCACCGTAGGACAGGTTATATTTGATCAAATAGTAACAATCACCACTTAAATTGTATTTTTCAGTCAAATTGAGAACTCACTTGATGGTGTTTGAGACTGAATACAAAATGATATATATATATATCAAGAATTCACAGCTGCCTGCATGGGATCAAGCCCCCTGAAATCTGGAGGGGAGCTCATTTTAAGGATCAGCGATTAATGCATGCCGACAGACCCCCCCCATACTAACCCCCCTCCCTCATGTCATCCCACTAAGAAAAGCGGGGGAGATTGTTGGACACGGGTTAACATATGGTACTGTCTGAGACATAAGCACAGCTTTTATTTCTTTCATGGTGGTGGTGAAGGGGGGGGGGTAGTTTGGATATGTATGTGTGTATCTGCAGCGCTTCCTCAGGACCCTCCATCTGTCTGAGGGGACAGCTCCTCATCAGAGGCTTAAGCTACAGTCTGTACATTAGAAACCATGTATTGCTGACAGCTGCAGAGCCCTAGTGCAACAGCAGGTGGGTGGATGTACATTAGAGCTACTGTTTAATTAAAAGGCTTCCATTTAAAGCCTTACAGTGTACAACGATGCTCTTAATGTAGAGTGTCTTGCAGTAAAACGTGCTTGTGCATAAGGATAATTGTGAGGCGGTACTTCCACACACACCTACACATATTTTAGATTGTAAAAAAACCTTGAAGTCCAATATTAAATGTGTTTGGGTGTTCTGTAGAGCTGCATAATTAACTTTAATTGTATGAACATTGCAATATGGACTAGTGCAATATCCAAAATGCAATATTTGAGGCAAAATATGTTAAAATATCATCTGAATGTAATGAAATGTAGGTATTGTGGCGCTCCAAAGATATCCTGTCCTACAAGTGGTATCCCACATACTTAATGTAAATAAGATCCTGGTAAAAAAAATTCAATAATATCAATAAAGTATGATATATCAGTCATTATCATCACAATGTGATATTTGTCCTAAACCGTACAGTCCTAGTGTTTAAACTGACACACACACACACACACACACACACACACACACACACACACACACACACACACACACACACACACAGCCTCTCTGCAGCTGTCTGGGTCTCACCTGGCCTCGATGTTGTGGAAGAGGTTGTGCCAGCGCTGGTTGACCTCCTGCAGCGAGCCGTGGACCTGCGTCTGCTTGGCCTCGTCGCTGGCCGACAGCAGCTGCTCCCCCAGCTGCTTCAGGTGGCTTTTATTCTCACTGAACAGGTTGATCTCCTCCATGCAGTCCTGTGGAAATGTGACATGATAAAGTATTGTGCTTCATAACATGTACTCAAAGAAAAAACCTCACAAAGAATATATATATCTAATGCACACTGGAACTTAATGGACTCTTGTTTGTATTGGCGTTTCATAAGTAAGGCATTTTTCATTATTATATAAACAGTGTATAACATCATTAAATCCCTGTATACCATGGACATACTGTATATCTCAGCCTGAGTAGAAAACATTACTTTGCAATGAAGCAAATCATTTGATCTGTGATCACTTTATAGCAAACATCATCAGAAGTAAACACCTTCAATTTGACCTGCTCTATTCAATGACATCTTTAAATCAGCAGTTAAAAGGAAGGAAAAGCTTTAAAGTGTCAATAACACACTTCTTCTGTCAAGTGTCCCATTCATTCATCCTGCTCAACACCTGCTCTCGTGCCCTGGAGCAGTGTGTTGTCACCAGGAAGTGCCATCCATCACTATCCAAATCATTGAAAAGGGACCCTCAAGTGCCACCAATTTTCTCATCTCATCCAACAGCCCTAAACAAAACAGTGCAATGTTCAACCCAATTATTATCTAGTTGAGTAAATGAGCATGCAAACATGAGATGACACAGGAAGGTACAAAAGGCTTTCAGTCACTGAAAGGACAACTGTTGTGTGAGAACAAAGGCCAGCGCAGTCTTTCCATTCCAGGCCACCATCTGCTGTAAGAGCATCATTCATGTATGGATGTTAACCTAAACAAGAGGTAAACAAGCCCTGCATCGTGGGAATTACAGTAAGTGTTGGAAATAAGGTCAAGTAGAATCCCGTGTGAAGTTTTAAAATGTGCACATAGGAGGATGCAAATGAGGTAAAATATGGTATGTAATCCAGCATTCACATTTCAAGTAAGGGAACTCCTTTAACTGTCCACTTTATCCAAATTAATTAAAAGATACCAGTCACTCTAACCCAGGGGTGTCAAACTAAATTTCATCGCGGGCCACATTAATATTATGGTTGCATTCAAAGGGCCGGTTGTAACTTCAAGACTATATAAAAATACATATATAAATATTTAATATATATAAAATAACGTATTATATTACATTATTGCCTCTGCATTGGATTATTTTCTTAACAACTTCATAATTAACTACGTCTGAAAGAAGAAGTCTAGGGCAAATAATTGCAAGTGTTTTCAGTGAGAATGTCACAAACTGATTTAAAAAGAAAAGCCAAAAAGTGACATTTTGAAAAAAAAGTTACATTCTGAGAAAAATGCAAATACTAAAAAAAAAAGGCATATTTTGAAGAAAAAAAGGCAAATTCTGAGGAAAAAGTCAAATTTGAGATGCATTGTGGGACATGTAGTTTATGGGCAACGTGCTGTAAATCGGCATGTAACCGTATAATAAACATATTATATTCTTTGCAAGCTCTTGTGGGGCCACAGAAAATGAAGTCAGGGGCCGGATTTGGCCCCCGGGCCTTGAGTTTGACACCCCTGCTCTAACCAATGTTAAGTCCTGATTTAGTGTTGTGTTGATTGTTTATTGAAAAAGAGTGATTTTATAAGGGTCTCTGACACAAAATACTTTCTGCTTGCACTTTGAAAATGTTTCAAAACGCCTGTTCTTCCATGTGTATGTCTATGAAGAAATTACAACTCATTAGTTTTTGTACCTTCTTCAGTTTCTCCACCATTTCCTCGATGCTCAGATCTCCGCTGTGGCACACCTTGTTCTCCATCTGAGTCAGCCAATCACAGAACTCCTTGTTCTTGTCATTGAAGATGGTCCAGGCATTGAGGCGGTCTGCGATTTCCTGTCTGCGCAAAGATACCTGGGAAGAGTCAGAAGTGGCATTTAGCAACTGTGTCAGAGTCATTTTCAGCATACAGATAATGATCTTTTTATGATTTCACTTTACCAACACAGGGGTATTTGTATATAAAAGCTTCCTACTGCAATGACATTAGCTAATAAAACGATTCACCTAAAAAGTAATAACAACTATTATATGTCTGGCAGGAGATCTAAGACTGAAAGTCACACATTGTGCATTTGATTCTCAAATTATACATGGCCGATAAAACTATGGGTTATATATTTGTACTACCAACTTTTAGTGTAGTTCAGGGAGACAAGGTGAGAAACCAAACCAGGTGTTATGATGTGTTGTCAACATCATTGCCAGATTGACTTGCTGGGTGAAACTGCACACAAATAGGTCTTAAGTGTCTGACCGGCACAAACAAAAGCCTCAAAGCAGCGGTTCTTTGAATATTGACTAATATCAATGCAGTCTGAAACACTGATCTACATAACCTGGTAAATGAGAGCAGAGAAACAGATGATGTGTCCCAGTGGATGTAAAAACAGCCAAATTAACTGAATATTAAGTGTTTTCATTTATTACCGGTGCCATTTCATCTCCATCTGAGTCAGTACAACTGCATTGAGAGGAATCCCCAAGGAGCTCTGGCTGTTAGACAAAATTAACAAGGTCCATTTTCCTAATGATAGCTTAACGCCATGAAAACACCCCGTTACGTCTCTGAGGAGGGGGCTGATGATCTTTTCGAGGTTAAAGGGCTTAGCGAGCCCTCGGGGCACGTTTGAAACCGGCTATATTTTATACTATTTTCTGGCATTTATTTGATTTGAATGAGCCCTGTGAGCACCAACACTGCTGAGTCCTCTTGGACTCTGGTGCATTTAGGGTGCATTGTGAACTGCTGTCACCCGGAGAGGACTTTGTGCTTCCCCTGGAACAATAGAGCCCGTCCCCTGAATCCCTTTAGCGCAGCCCGGCCATCTGCTCAGCGGACCCATTCCACTGGCTCCCCCACCTGCAACCTGTTAGCTGTGCAGAGGACTCCATGGCTCAGATTCCCCCCGGCCATTTCAGGAGTTCAAAGGGATGAACATCTTGTGTGTGATATCACAACAACCAACTGAAATAAGTCTGTGCTTTCTTTAAATAACCTAGTTTCACTATTCAGCAACAGATTGTAATTATGCATTAAGATAAGAAGGAACTTTATTTATCCCCTGGGGGAAATGTAGGTGTTTATAGCAGCAACAGGGTCAGAGTTAAAAACAGGATCACATAAGGTACAAATAAAGACAAAATATAATGGAAATGTAAAATGATAATACAAAATGTTTTTAAACTAAAGTGAAACAAGATATCACAGTAAAACGTTGAGCATTTGAATTAACATGTTCTTATGTTATTACTTAAGTGTGCAGATGTGAGTGCAGGTTAAAGTCAAAACAATGCAGGTGTGTACAGTCCTGGTTACTATTAAAGTATGTTATGTGACACATATGATCCAGCCTATGTATAGCATGCATGTAGGCTTTTATATTTGAAACTCAACACTCAAACAATTGTTTTGTAACACACATAGGAAGGACGAGCAGCTTCCATACTTGCACAGATAAAGAAGAGACTATTAGATACAGAACCAACATCAACAGCAACCTGCTGCTGCTGCTGTGGCTGCATCTGTGAGTCCCAGAAACTCCTGCCAACTGGAGCAGGTGGTGTATCTGGGGACCCAATTAGCACGACCCTATAACCCAAATAACAGACCAAAGAATCTGAAGCATGTCACAACCGTTGGTTTCTAAAGAACAAAAGTCTGTTGTGTTAAAGCCAAAAGATTAAACTGCAGGAATTTGAGCCTGTGAATATACTGTAGAGCTACTTTCAGCAATAATGCAGTTACAGAATGAACAGCCTGTTCTGCTTGAGAGTTAGTGTGATTGTTCTGTAAGCACACTGAATCCAAAGCAGGAGCTAATTACATCCTGAAACCCGGTCAACTATGTCAAAGCTATGAAGCAACTCAATCCAGATCCTTTACACAGCATGCATCGAACCCAAAAGAGAAGCACAAGTTGTGTCACTTTTGCAGAATAAATGTTAAAAGAACAAACTAATTCGACCCATATGTAGGCAAGTTGTTATATGATAACAAGATGTGGTAATGTTCCCTCCATGAACCGCCACATGTTGCTCTTTTGTCAAACAAATGAGTGTGTGTGTGTGTGTGTGTGTGTGTGTGTGTGTGTGTGTGTGTGTGTGTGTGTGTGTGTGTGTGTGTGTGTGTGTGTGTGTGTGTGTGTGTGTGTGTGTGTGTGTGTGTGTGTTTCCGTGTGTGTGTTCAGCCCCAGTGGTGCAGAGGCTTTGTGCTGCTGGTCAGCGCCAAGACACTGCTGGAAGCAACTTTCCCTCCCTCGCTTCTTCACTTCCCCTCAGTCCATCCTCACCACCTGCACCCTCTCACTTTCTCTACTTCCTCTTATGGCCTCTCTCTGTCTCTCTATTTCTGTTTTTGCCAGTTCTCACCTTGGTACACAGCTCTTCCCATTGGACATGGAGTTGTTCCAGCTGCTGCTCCAGCAGAGCAGAGTCGCCGGCCGCGACGTACTGGGTCAGGTCCGTCTTCATGGTGGCCACTTCTCTAAATCCACCGGTCAAACGCTGCAGAGAGAAGTCTGTCTCCTGCATAACACACACACACACTTCAACTTCCCTGCACTGCGACAGGCGGTCCGACAGCCATGCTGCACACACACTTCTATACCTCTTTCTCGCTCTGACCGTCCAGATTAAAGGGCTGTGGACGGGACAGGGGGAGGGGAGAAGGGGTAAAAGGGGGAGGGGAGTGAAAGCATGGGGGCATTAAATAAGGGAAAGGGGGGTAAACTCAGAAGCACTGTGGTGGGATGGGGGGGGAAGCTACTGATGGAGTAGCTTAGGCCAGTTTGCAGCTGATGTATGGAGGCAAACTTGATTCCATACACACTGATCAATGACTGCCAGTATAATAGCTCCAACAATAAAGACAAACCATTATTTTAAAATGGTTTGTATTTCTTTATGAAACCATGACAAGTTGATTATTACATCAGGATACACAATGAATACTTGTCAGACACCCTAAGTGCCTGTCTTACGAAATCAAGTGTGGGAACGGAGAATGAATTGAGGCATTAGATGACACATGGGTTTCTGCTCTGTTACAACCAAGAGTTTTCAGACAAAAGGAAGAACTGTGAGAACTCCACTTCGAGCGATTGAATTACTAACAGAGCACTTATATACTAATAAAGGACTGGCTTATCTAAAGCCAGTTGAGTAGCACTTGAAATATTATTTGACCTTATTTTTGGATAATGCTAGTGCTCAACCATTCAACTTACAAGCTTCCATTTTGCTAAGAAAACTCGAGCCACAAACCTCCATATCAGGGACAACCTGTAGTGTCGATGTTCTTATTCAGAGCCCGGTTGATAAAGGTCTTTAAACGTGGCTTTGAAAAGACTTCCTGGTGGGGTGACTTCTTTTATAAGAAGAACCAGAGTTCAGGGTTCACACAGACTAGTTGTTTAGTGTTTACCTGAATGTGTGTCTCGTCGTCAGCCAGCGGCGGTTTCAGCTCCGTGTTCAGATCATCCAGTTCAGACGTGATGCTCGTTAGCCTCTCCTGACACTGAGACCACTTCTAAATAAACAGCAGAACAAAGAGTGTATATGTAAGATATAGGTGTTATAAATATATGGCAAGTTACGATTTGTAACCTGTATGGTTTGACCAGAAAGCTCTGGAATTAAGTTGTTGTGAAAACCTATACAGGGGACATTTTGAAAACCACATTGAAACATGAATCACTGCAGAGGTAATCTGCTTCTCTACATGGCATATTATAAATACATACTACATGTATGACTTTGAATCTGTTACCTTTGCGTTAAAGTGATGTGAAACAATAAGGTGTACAATTGTGCAAAAGGCAGAATTGTAAATATATATATTGTACAATTGAAAATCTAAATCAAATATGGGACAGAAAACAGTCATGTATTGTACAGAGCCATGGTCAGCTGGAACTCTTTACCGGTCCACATCATTCAGGAACATTCTCAAGTACATTTCAAAAGGTTGCTCAAAAATAATTTATGTATTATAAAGTAAATTTGAACTGTGCCCGTGGCTATGTATGCATCTGTTATTATGTACACTTATTTGTATTTACTTTTGTTTGGCCTTAGGATGGCGATAATTGGATGACCATTTTAGTTTTCACTTCATACAGCACTGTAAATTGCATGAAATTATAAATTTTTAATTTTGTTGTATGTATGTTTTGTGTGTGCGAGGACCCCAGGAAGAATAGCCAATGCTCATGCTAATGCTAATGGGGATCCTAATAAAGACATAAAGACGTACAATGCCTTCTCTGTTCTGTAAAATACATATTTCCACAAACATAAATCCTTCTGATGCTGAAAGAATGCTTTGTGAAACTTAAGCATTCACGTCAAAAGTTCAGAGGACCGGTACTCCTTAACCGAACTGTTTAAGTGACAGAAGTCCAAAGTATGGTCACAAGCTCCAAGTGGTAAATCCACAGCACCTTTCTCACCCTAAAAACCGTTATCCATTTGAGTATTTTATGTGTAATATAATGTATGAAGACGAGGTCAATCTGTTGCTCTGCAGTTATACTTGCACTGATGCATCAAAGCTACTCTCTGTGATCTTTGACTTGTTGCTCAGAGTGATTTCCTTTCCCCCGGCAGGATCCTGTTGAGCTTTCCTTTCCCCGGACACCAAAACAATCTGACACTGTAATCAACACAGCTCAGTGATCAGTCACATCGGAGACGAAAAGGCCATCGTTTAAGACATTTAGCAATCAGTATTTGTTCAATATGTCTGCCTGCCTACCTAGCATATATGACTTCATTTGAATAATTTTGTATTGGATTGTGTATGAGAAGACTGTACAGTGATGGGAGGAAAGGGACCGACAGTGATGTGGATCATGGACAGATTTGAGCTTGTCTTTGATCCCTCTTAGCATGAGGTCGGTGCCAGCGCAACACACCAGGTTGCGTGTGGTTGCGTGTGGTTGTGTGTGTGTGTGTGTGTGTGTGTGTGTGTGTGGGTTGGTGTGTGTGTGTGTGTGTGTAGGATCAGATCCTGGATATGGGTCATGTACTGTAAAGCTGACACTCCCTTGTTAATACTGTAACACATGCGCTTCTTCTGGATTTCTGCCGTACAAAGCTGCACAAAACACAACCATTTGAATTTTGATTCTGCTTCCTGTCAAAGACCACTAGCTGGATCTCACCACATCTACAGCAAAAGAGTGTTAATATTTATATTTCCTTTTTATGATTTGCCAGTGAGTTAACTTAGAATAGGAAGTTTATTCTATCGACATTTTAAGAAATAAATTGCCCTGAGCCTGTTTTTCAGGCTTCAGGCTCGAAAATGACATTTCCAGAACAAATGACCATACCTTCACTTCTTAAAGGGGTACATTAATAATCTTTTTTCTCAAAGCATTGATACACCTGTGAGTTGGATGTAGAAAAGTCAGAATCAATAAAGATTTTTTTTATTTTAAAGTAAATTCAGAATGAACATAGTAAAAAAAATTAAATTATAGTTTCCGTCCAAAATAAAACCCATGACTTATAGTGAAAACCACCCTTGAATGATGGGATCGGAGACTAAAAGCTTTAGGAATCCAAACTATAACATATAAGAAGTACCCTGTATCAAGATTGATGCAAAACAAGTGATATTTGAGCTTTTTAGAGAGATTTAGCAAAAAGAAAACACCTCTGGGTTCATTTGGGTGCATTTTCCATATCTCTGGCCCCCCTTGTTCGATTTTGATGATTGACACCTCTTTTTAACCGTTAGAGCCAATAGAATCAAGGGGAGGTTCCTAAATCCACCTAAACATTACCTATTGGTGAATGAGTGATGCGCAGCCAGAATGCCCCAGAACCGGAAATAGTCTCGTAGCAGCTTTATATGAAAACTCCGTTATTGACATAAATGTTACGATGGATTATCAGTAATCATTTCAAAGTGACACAGACACATTGGATTAACGTTCAGCAGCGTTTTTATGCGTTTTAATGCCATTGAACAAACTTTTGTTCAGAAAACAGCAAAGGTAAGACGTATTTGCCATTGTGGCCACGTAAAGTGAAGTTGTGTGTTGTCTGGTTTCGCCTTCGCTGTCCTTAAGTGGGTATGACACATTCATAGTTTATTAAATGTTAAGAAGCCCTCAGGGTTTAACTGGTTAAGAGTTTAGGAGTGCAGACTGAACAGTTTGTATCCAATTATTTTATAATTTAGTTAAATTCATAGAAAGGTATATTAGTGGGATAAGTGTTTAATTTTTGCATTTTATTTTGAAAAGCTTAATATTTTAGATAATCTTTGGGTGCTTATTTAGTTGTCTATAAAATGTCTAAAATATGACATTAAAATGTTCTTACAAATGTGCAATGATAAAATAATAGATTTAAATGCTAAATATGAAGATAAATATTAAAAAATAAAACATGAAAATTCAATATAATCATCTGTTTGCAACTTATATATATCAATATTCCAATTACTTGTATATAGACTATTCTGCTGCACTATTTCTACTATATTCTATTTTATTGTATTTACTTGCACTATTATCTGTGTTATTGTGTTGCACTGTTGGAGGAGCCTGTGACCTAAGATGTCCATTGTCATGCCTACACTGTAGCTATGTACACAAGACAATAAAAGCCTCGAATCTTGAATCTAAAAGAGTGTTGATATTAAATGTTACCTGGAGCGTTGTGCGGACCAGGCCCCCCCTGCTCTCCAGCAGAGTGCCGGTTCGATCCCAGGCGTCCTGCAGGGCCTGACACTCACTCTCTGTCGTGGTTTCACACAAACGTCTGCCAGCCTCCAGCGTCTGGGAGCACACGGTGGAGTGCAGAGCCAGAGCCTCTTCAACACACTTGGAAAGATGTGGGGAGAGACACTGTTTATTCTTCAGCAAGGAAAATATGATATTTCTGATCAAAAATCTTTTTATTGCTTTTCGACAATGCATAAGTAATGTTTGTCATTTAGAAGTGGAAAGCTAACTATATATGCATACAAATGAGACAATGGTCTGTAGGGACTGTATGTACAAAGAGAAAAAGTAATTACAAAGAACACCCGTTGCTGTTAAATACCAACCAACTATGTGCAATATGCCTTTTATATATACCTGGCTGCTAAATCCTCAGAACTGTTACAGGATGTTTATTTTGTAAACCGTAAAAAATAATGTATTATCATTTTTGTATCTTTAATACTTTGTTATGCATGCTTCGTAGGTAACATTTATTAGTTGGCCCTTTTCTGCTGTAACAATGTGAATGTCCCCTCTGTGGGACTAATAAAGGTATTCTGATTCTGACAAACAAATAATAACAAAATATAATATTTGACACAGATTTTGACTATTTTATATGTTTTGTTCATAAACACTTACTATGCACTCTTACTGGTATCCATTCATGCTAACCTGGTAATCGTCGGCGCAGCTCCGTAGCTGCTGCAGCGAACACACAGCGGGTCCAGCAGGGGGCAGTAACGGGCCAACGTCTCTCAGAAGCTTCCACAAAAGTTTGGAGCCACGACGGTAAACTCTCCACTCGCCCAGTTGTTCTTTTATAAAGGACCTGCGCTCTCCAGCCAGAGCCACGGACTGTAGCCAGCTCTGCCTCACACAGGTCACCTGAGCCATGAGTTGAGATCTGTGAAGAGACAACACAAGAGATAACACTGTTGTATTCAGGAGACATCTGTTAGCATAGGTGCTCCATTCAATATGGAACCATTCACGGGAGGCGTGTGGCGCAGTTGGTTGTGCGTTGGTGTTCGGATCAAGGGTTCAAACCCCACTGCAGTCAGCATGTCGTTGTGTCCCTGGGCAAGACACTTCACCCCAAATTGCTCCGGTGGTGATTGTCCACAGTATTGAGTATGTAAGTCGCTTTGGATAAAAGCGTCTAACAAGTAACATGTCATAATAATAATAATTGGAATAATTAGGTTAAAGGTTCATTGTAGAGGATTTGATCACCTCAAACTAAGAATCAATGTGTTTTCATTAGCTTTAAATAAGCCCTTTCCACACCGTCATGATTCTACGGTAGCTCACAGAGGACAAATCAAATACTGGCTCTAAAGGTCCTGACATTATATAACCGTAGTTCAAGGTTCTTTATTGTAGGGATGCACCGAATATTCGGCCGAACGAAAATTATCGGCCGAAAATGGTTAAA